AGCCAAATAAACCTCTTTTCCTTATAAGTTACCCAGTCTCAGGTATTTCTGTTATAGCAACACAAAACAGACTAAAACAAGAGGATTTCTAAAAATGTTTTAATCCATGTCAGAATTGTTAGTATAAGCATGGTCTTAAATGAGGCTTTACTTAGGGGAAGAACATTAATTTGACTAGCACAATTTTAGAAGCCAATCTCTTTATAGCATAGTATAACAGAGTCGTTAAGAGCAAAGCTAGTTTGAATCTTGACTCTAGTATTCATTAGTTATGTAATCTTGGTTCTATGTATCAGTTTCCTTATAAGTAAAAATCCTTCACAAGGTTGTTCAGAGGACTAAATGATTTAATAATGTGTAAAGTACTTAGAACTGTACTTAGAATATTATACATGTCCAATAAATTGGTAACCATTATTACAATTATAGTTGTTTTTCAAAAGCTCACCAGACAAATGCTAAGAACAGGTAAAGGATGCTCATGCCCCTGAAATCCAGAATAAGGAGCTGCCACTCTAGCCCAGAGCACATTCCTAGCTTGGAAGATCATAATGACTTTGTTGGTTGAGGATTCACAGTTGCAGAAAACTGAATAGAAGGGGCCTTGAGAGTTTAAACCAGTTTCGAAAGGATTCCGGCCCAACCAGTATCCCCCAAATAGCCAGGATGAATCTCTATAAGGGTAGCTTGGAGTTAGCTCTTTCTGGAATTACTAATACAATCCTATTCCAGAACTGTTTGTATATGGTTGAGGTACCCAGGAATGTTTAATTTAATCCCTTTTCTCACTGTCATGTTTAACTGTGATTAAAATATAACCATTTTTTTTCAAAGAATATACAAATAAATCACAGTAAATCCCACATGGAAGGACACCTCATGAAAGCAGGAACTTGATCTGTTTTGTCTGCTATCCCCAAATAGTTCACAGTACATAGTAAGCATTCAGTAAGACCTTCCTAAAGAATGAATAAATGCCTAAGAAACACATTTTTTTGTTGCTATTAAGTGAAAGGCCCCTTCTTTCTTTCTCTGCCCTATGGAACCATACGTAAAGGAGAAATACATTAACTGATATCAATTGTAGCAGTCTCAGATATAGTAAGAAATGTTTATTTTAAAACCATTATTATTTTGTCTCTGTTAATCTAATTTGTATAACAGAAATTCTGATTACTGGTATTTTAGTAAATACAGATTTTGTTAGTGAGGCAAAAATCAAAGTAGTTCTGCATTGTATCATATAAGAAATACATACAAGGCACAACATTTTACATATAATTTAAAGAGGTTTACATACTATCCCCAAAAGCCCATTTTTCCATGGACCCTAGGTTAAGTAAAATCATAAAAATATGGACTCCACGAACTTAGAATTTGTGATAATTCAGATAGAGTATA